AGAGAAGACCGAATAAAAAGGCGTTTCATATGACGTAGATTGGCGGCTGTAAACCATAAATATGTATATAATAACTGTTGTGACTTCTATAATTCTTCTCTTTGATTTCGTTGACATTTTTTTATTACCAGTTATTAAATTACAATTCAACGCAACTAAATATGTATGTGAATATGCGATTTCTCTCAAACTTGAGAAATACACAAAAACTTTTATTACTTCAACTTCGTGTAAAGAGATGGCGCCACGTTGAGCGGAGTTCGGCACAATAACACAGAAGCCCATATGACGCAAGTCAGGGTTGATTTGGTGTCACACATGTCGGACTATTTGAGATATTTGAGTTTATTTAGATACGGCGGTCTTTACTTTGACCTGGACGTAGTGGTGCAACAGAATCTCGATGAATTACCGCCCAATTTTTCGGGCGTTCAAGATTCAGCTGTAGTGGCTGTTGGTGCAATGGGATTTCAACAAAATCCAATCGCTCATATGATACTGGAATTATGTCTCAAGTAAAAATTTCGACTTTTTTTATTAATTTTCTATTTGGACGTTTTTCTTGCAAATTCAATATTTTGCTTTATTTGTGTACAACATTTGTAGAGATTTTGCGGTTAATCATCGTGGATATGTTTGGGGCTCAAGCGGACCTGCAGTATTGACTCGAGTTTTGAAAAAAATTTGTAGGGAAAAAAGCATACAGAAAATGACCCCATCGAAATGCTGGGGATTTGATGTGCTGCCACGAAAAAATTTATATGCGATTCACTACAGTAATTGGAAACACTTTTTTAACAAAAAATTGACGAATGAGACACTTGAGCAAACGTCAAAGTCACCAGTCGTTCATTTATGGAATAAATTGTCAATCGTAGAAAGAATTAAAAAGTCTGAAAAAAGGACGGCCTACGAAGTGATTGCCATGAAACATTGCCCAAAGGTATTTGAAGCATCTGGAACGTATTTTTAAGACTTCTTTAGATTTTATTTATTCGAAATAAAGAATTATACTAAAGGCGTACGAAAAAGATTTTTTACAGATAATAGATCTCAATGATGTTTTTAATTCAAAAATTAGTTGGGATTTTATTCGAGCAAAAAACTTGAATTTTAGTTTGTGCACGCATTAATAATCAACTCAATTTTCTTTAAATAAAAAAAATATGAAAAATGTTCAATCTCTGTCACTTTTCTTCTCTGTTTTTTTCGAGTTTCCCTCCCCAAAGATTCAGTTATTGATGCAGTTTGTAGTGAAGAAAATTTCGCAAAAATAATTTTTCAATTCGGCTGAGAAATGCGCTTTTTTTATATAATATAAAAAGGACAGTTACTCTGCGCCACCCTGTAGATGCAGAAATCCAGAACGATCGATATTTTTCATGGGACGTCGTGCTTTAGCAATGGCACAAAATCCTTGAAAAAAAAGCGGTAGTTTGATAAATTCCCTTTAAGTAAAAAATGAAAATTTGTTGTTTAATTTCTCTCGCTTTCTTTTGAAAGTTTATGAAAATAGAAATAGTAATTTCATATTAAATGGGAGAAATAATCGCATTTTTCAATCGAAGCATGACGAAAAGACATTTAAAATCTATAAAGATTTTTAATCAAATTATTCAAGAGTTTTATAAAAATTGCTAGCTGCATTAAAATAATTTCTTTTGAATGAAATGCGAAGAAACGGGTGCGAAAAAAGCACGCATTAAAAGTGCCATGAGTCGTTCAATGGTTCAATTGAGTGCCACTCAAATGCAATTCAAAGAAAATAATTTAATTTTAAAATGAAGCGAGCAGAACCGACGCAGTTCAAGTACGAAATGTGAACTGCATTCGTGCTTCTGTTGTTGGTAATAACGTGTGTGGCCATTAATCAATTTGAATGTCGTAAAGACTGTCGTCCACAGGTACAAAAGTTCACTATGAAATTAAACAGTTTGACATTTAAATTCCGAATTCGCTGATTTGCCAGATGCTACTCACTGAATGAGCGAGGTAAGAGATTGCCTTTTGCAGGAAAATATCTATAAGTTTATAAAGTTTTTTAATTTCTTTTCTTCTGTTCACAAAATAGAGATGATTCCTGTGCAAAAATATAATTTTCGAAGGGTAACTGCTGGTGTTGTAACTTGAAAAAATAAACGGTTGACATATAAAAATGTGAATTTAATTTATTTGAAGGAACCTTTCAAGTTTTTTTTCTGCGATGAATCGCAATGGAAATGATCGAAAAGAGCTTGTAAAATGAACACAATTAGTTTTAATTAAAAAGCTGTTATATTCAACTACAAATGAATTTAAACATTGTCCGTGCAGCGTATACAGTTTAAAAATGCCCCTTCAAATAGACTGTGAAATATTCAAGAGTGCAAGAATAGTAGTGTATTGAAATTCAATGTTTCGGAAGTACGCTCAATTTGGTTAGACGGTGAAAATGCGAGAAAATCAGTGTCTGCAATCTTTTTCTCTTGAAATATTGTTTACATTTCTATTTATGAGACAAAACTGTAGTCGAATGAGTATTTCACACAGTCATTTCGACCGAAAATGGAAAAACGGAAAGAAATGTTCGAAGCAATTTTCGATGTTGCGGTTGAAAAAGGAAATTATGAGGGAACAACCTGTCGTGAGATAGCAATGGTATAACTGTGTATGGTGGTGACTTGCAAAGCCAAACATTTGCCTGTGTATAAGCGCGAGTTTAACACTCTCTGAATTCAGTGTGCATTTTTTCCTTTCGCTATGCGAACTTTTTTCAATAATACTGATTCATTGACCCATTCGCTGTAAGCCACTTTACAACTAACTTTCCCTTCATGTTCTTCCATTTGCTGAATATTGAATCATAAACGGTCGGAACACCAACACTTTTCAGCCAGCACACAGCACTCCGAATAGAAACAACGATTGAAAAACTTTGTGCACTCATTGGTATTATTTGTTCTATTTTTCTTTTCATCGTTCGTCGGGTGAAAAGTAGTTTTTGTTCACACATCGTTCTTAAGCGACGAGAACTTTGTGAAGAGCATTAGCATTGTTTTCATCCCAAACTGTTCTTTTATACTATAATTCACCGAGTTATGGTATAGCTTTGCAATGGCATCAATTGAATTATTGTACAAAATGTATTATTTCATTGCCGACGATGGCGACAATCACCATTTGTTCTTTTCCACACTGAAAATCGGACGAAAATTTTGTGACTACAAATCAAATGGCATTGAAATTGGGCTGAATGACCGATATAATTGGTAGAAAAATTCAATAACTTACATTTTTCCGAGAAAATGTGTAGTTTTTCGCATTCACACGCCCTATCGAAATGATAGCGATTGCACTTGGCCGATTTGATATATATCACCAGCAATAAATATAAAACGTAGCACACAATAGCATACGAAAAGTTTATCACCCAATCAAATTATGTTTTCTTCACCACCAAATTGATTTCCTCTACGTCCTACCAACGCTATGTTATTTTTATCACTTTTGATTTCGATTTGGGAGTAGCCGATAACAATCGGAAATTCCCAGTGCATACAGTGACATCGCCGCAATATGTATCGATAAATTGAGGGATAAATTAATTGAATTTCACTTCATTAGTTAAATTGATTGATTCAACGTTATCATTTGTGTTGAATCTAAAAAATGTACTCAAACAAATACACCCAAAACTTTTAAATTGAAAAAAAAACAGCCATATGACAGAGTAGCGTGATATGTTCACATATCTATCGGCAAAGACAGCAGGCGAAAGTGTTGTTGAATCGGCTACGTTTTTATTATAACCATTACCGTGTTGTTATCTCACAAAACGATTTTTTGTTGTTATTGTTGAAATATTTGGCTTTTTTTCTCAATTAAAACAAAGAACCGATTTCATCACATTGTTCCGCCGAATCGATTCATGTTTATCTGAACAAACGATTGAATAAATTTTCGTTAATGGTACGGTGCGTGCGTGTACCACCTACATTAACAATTCCAATGTAATTGCTGATATTCCAGCGTTATTATTGTAATGCGCGTATACATTTTTTTCTCTCTCTCTCTCGAATATTTCACGCTCATTTTCACCATATCGTTTGTTCAAATGTTAACCTGGTTATACCTGGAATTGAGAGCATTTTTCTGCCACGAGATTTTCCCCCAATTTTATTTCCATCAAAAGTCATTCTCTTGTTTTCGGTTCATTTTGTTGGATTGTTAGCGTGTGCTGAATTTCGAATTTTAATTATCCCATCGAAAATAAATTCAATCGAAGCATTTGCTGACATGTTTGCATTTAAATTCATTGTTTAGCGTAAAAACAACGACAATTGGGTGTGCGTTTAACTCACAAACGCACTAAATTATATACGATGTAAATGTAGTTTTTATCGTTTTAATGCGACATTTATGTTTTCTGTTTCGACTTTTTTATTCCATTAAATTTCTTTTTCGTTCGCACGACATAATTATCGTCACATGTTCATCGCATACATTCAGATAAAATAGTTTTTTCTTGCTTTTGCTTTTAAAAACTCTCAAAATGAACGCAATTTATACACATTGTTGTTTTGTAAATATGATAGTGCTCATGGGAATGCGACATGTTTGTCAATATAGATACATCGTTTCATAAATGAATGATTAAGTTGCAGTGTGATCGGCATTGAAAATCAATAAATATTGAAATGTTCTCGAGTACACATATTAGTTGATTATATGCAGTGGCAGTGCAGTAATATTTAAAATTCATGTTCAAATTACACATTCCGTCGATGTCATGCATGAATTTGTTACATTTTACTAATTTTGCGAGAGAGAAAAAAAACAAGTTTTAATGTTTTTCGGTTTATTCATCATTCAAAGGGGGCTCCGCATTGTAGTTTAATATCATTCATATTTCACTGGAAATATTCCATACATAGAAAGCATTGCGAAACGCAAATCAAATCCAGCCACAACAGAAACAGTGACTTGTTTGTGTCAACCACCGCTCATAATGAATTGCAAACGAATCAAAGCCATATAATATCGAATGTGACGAAGAAATTAGAATGATTAATGGACATTTTTACGCTTTGCCCCCTTTCATTCCACCGGCATTAAGTGGATAATAAATGACCAATTTTGACGAAAAACAAACAGTCTGCACCGAAAATTATAAATGGACATTTCACTTGGTGTGCTTGGAAATTGAGGAATGAAACATTAATTGCATGCCGAATATGAATGAGATTGAAATCATTATAAAAAAATACATGCATGAGTTAAGACACATTTGTGATTCATCTACAAAATGTAAAATGAATTTATTATGAATTGAACGTGGAACTGAATTATGAGCATTTTTTGGGGGTTTTCATGAATAAAAAAATGAGAAAACTTTTCATGATGATATCATACATTTGAAAAACAGAATGAATTTAGACACTGTGAAATAATAAAATGCATCTTTTGTATAACATGGTCTGACAGTGCATATCCGTTCTACCACCGGCATGCAAACTATATTCATTTTTCGGCTGTTCCTTTATATTTAATGAATTTTCGCCCCTTCAGCTTAGCGGCAAAAAAGTTTTCTGCTGTGTTACCATCATTTACTTTTCTCTTTGTTTGATCTGCTTAAAGCAGTTGGATGTCGAAAATTCCAAAGATTAGTTTAATGCATTTTCAAATTCGGTTGCTGTACAAACAGCAAAAATATCGTGTTTTGTGTTAGTAAAACACAAATACTCAATTTAATTGAAATTCTCTTTCCATTGAGCAAACAGTGATGAATGCATTTGAATGAAAGAAAAACACCACGATTCGAAACGGTTCTTCTTAATGTCAATTCGAAAATCTGTAATATTGTTCAACACAAAAAAAAAATCAAATTGCCTCGGGTGAGTGTGTAAATCCTGAAATGGCCATAAACACAAAATTGTGCAGTTAGCGTCATTGATGTTGGCTAATAAATTTACAATAATCTTTAGTCGGTTGGCAATTCATTTTTATCCGCCAGCTAACTGTTTTAATGCTGACACAATTTCGATGTCGACACTGGACGGGCATTTTATTGGCGCTTTAAATATGCGTTCACATAGTCCCGCTGCGTGCATATTACACAAAATACATTGGCCACTGATTAATTT